GACTTAAATAATAAAAAGCATTTTCTTTTCCCTCCTTATTGACTTGTGCCAGCAATGCTCCTAAGGAATGTTCTTGTGTTGCAATATAAAGTCTCAATGGCCTCCCAAGAATGGGTGCAACAAGAATTGGAGGGTAAAAGAGGTATTTCGCAATGCTTTCAAAGGCATTTTAACATGCTTCATCCCAAACAAATGGTGCATCCTTCTTCATTAACTTGCTAAATGGATGACACTATCCAACAAGGTTTAAAATGAACCTCTAGATGTAAACCAGCTTACCTTGGAAACTTTTTAGCTCTCGAAGATTTTTTAGGGGTGGCATATTCACAATTGCTTCTATCTTGGATTGATCAATGTCAATGCCTCGATGCCTCACATAAACCCCATAAATTTGCCAAAGGAAACACCAAAGGCACATTTTAATGGATTAATTTTTAGTTGGTACTTACGAAGTCTCTCAAACACAACTTTGAAGTTGTTGGGCTAGTCATCATGTCTCTTGGATTTAACAACCAAGTCATTGACATAACATTCAACCAGCTTATGCAACATGTCATTAAAAATCTTTTGCATTGCATGTTGGTAAGTCGCTTCGGCATTTTTCAATGCAAATGGCATAACTTTATCCACAATAAACACCATTTGGTGTTTGAAAAGTTGTAAGTGCCTCGTCCTTGGGATTCATGTGAATTTGGTTATAACCAGGGAATCCATCCATAAAGGACAAGAATTTATGCCGCATGGTTGCATCTACCATAAGCTATATGATTGGAAGTGGAAAATCATCTTTTGGGCATGCTTGGTTTGGATCACGAAAATCTACACATATGCTGAGTTGTCCATTCTTTTTATGAACTAGAATAATGTTCGCAATCTAGGATGGATAATGGATCTCTCAAATGAAACCGGCTTCAATTAACTTGTCAACCTTAGCTTCAATTTGTGGGATAAAGTTTGGATAAAAATGTTGTTGTGACTGCTTCACCAGGTGTACCTCATGCTTCACAGCTAGATGATGAACAGCTACCTTTGGGTCTAAGCCCAGCATCTCTTTGTAAGACCATGCAAACACATCCTTATACTCGATGAGTAGTTACACATATCTTGCCTCTTCCTCCAAACTTAATGATGCATTGAGAAATATAGGCCTTAGATCATCCTTTGTACCCAAGTTCCATTGCTTTAAATCGTCAGTAGTACCTTGTTCCCTTTCTTCAAAGGGTTTTGGGGCTCGATTTAGTTCTTCATCTAAAGAATCGTTAGAATAAAAAATTTTCTTAATTGAGACATGGTTTGATTCAACTACTTTCGCCTCCTCAATGGAAGGCTTCGAGATCTCTTACCCATCAAGGATGTCTTTATGCCTCCATTGAAACTTCTTTCTTTGTATATACTTTTTCTTGTTCTTTTGACCTCTTTGACTTTTAGACACTTTCTTGCTGTCTTGCAGCTTAGCACCAAGTTTGGAAAAGATTGAAGGCTTTTGAGAGGGATTCTCTTGGATTGTCAGTGGTGAGGGAGCAGGCCTTAATCTTTCAAAAACTGACACTCAAACATTCTCTTGTTGAATCCTTTTTAAGGCTAAAACTTGTAGTTGTGAAGTCTCTTCAACCTCGTTGGTTTTGTGGATGGTTATTGGATTGGCTAACTTCCTTTGTATCTTGTTCTTTGCAGGTTTAGATGATTGAAATCCAAGCTCATGCCTTTTCTTTCGTATAGGTTTTGCTTTTAATATGGCTTATTTCCCAGTTTGGGTTGCTTGAGTACCTGTGAAGATAAAGTTCAAATCCCTAAGTTGTCGAGACTCTCCTTCTTTGAAACCAACCTTTTTTAGCAACATTTGAGCACGTAGATCAAAGCATCCTTGAGGTTGCTTTTTATGTGCTATGGTTGTTTCAACCACCTCCTTTATAACTGGGTTAGAAATACCTAACTTAGAGAGTGCAGACAATGGAAGCACAAGATCTTCTTTGAGTACCTTCACATCCTCAACTGAAAGATGAACTTTAGAACTTGAAGATGGATCTTTTATGGGGCGAACAATGAATTTTCCATCATTCTTTTGCTTTATTTGTGGCAGCTTGATAGGAAGAGCTTTATAATCATCTTCTTCCTTCTCATAAAATTTGGCATTAGCAAAATGGGACTCTTTTTAGCGAAAGGCTCTTTCTCAGCCATAACATATTTTGTTTTGCCATCAGAATGATTTATAAAACATTGATGCCAAGTTGATGGAACTACCCTATTTTCATGAATCCATGTTCATCCCAAAAGAAGCTCATATGATATTTTAGCTTCAATGACATGGAACAAAGCTAAGGTTACCATGTTTGCAATTTTGAAATTGATAAAAATCTTGCCAATTACACATTGGCCCTTTGGTTAAAGCCTTGGATTATGAGTTTATTGCTAGTCAATTCATCGACAATTACTTCAATTCGCTTCATGGTGTTAATTAGCATTATGTTGACAACAGATCCATCATTGATCAGAATTCGATTCATTTTGTGATCTCAAACAACACTACTCAAATAAAGAGGCTTGTTATGTTTTTGGGCTCCAAGATACAGGTCTTCATCTGTGAAGGTTATTGTTCCTAAAAACTCAGCCTTTGTTTTTAGTTTGACAGCCTTGGAACTTTTTTAGGTCTAACATAGCTTGTATGAGAACAAGGTGTGTATCCCATGTAAGATGCAAGGCTTTGGATCACTATAAATCACATGGAAGTAGCTTCAATTTCTCCATACTTCCATTAGCTTTGGGATTATTTGATTGGCTCTTGAACCTTTAGCTTCTTTTTTAGGCGATGGTTTATTTTTTGTCTTAAAACTTGTGACATTAACGGATACTACATCATTAGAAAAATATCCCTTTGGAAAGTATTTGTAAAGAGTAATCTTTTGAGTTCACATTTTTCTCAGATAGTGACTTTCTTTTCTTAGAAACTTATCAACATTTTGTTTGCAAATCAGACCTCTTTTCACTACCTAACATTGTTCTTGATTTTTTGGTGGAGCTGGCAAAGCTGAAAGCAATGAATAATTTTGTTCAATGGTTAGCAATGTGGGTCATGAACAATGCCTCCTTCATGATTGAATTGGAATCCACCCATCATCATCATTGTTAAGGGTAAGAAACTTAAGTTTAAACACCATCCAATCCGGTTTATCTCTGGATAGATACCATACATAACCTTATAAGGATTTAGGAGCGGCATTCCACTAGAGATTGGATTATGATGTTTTTGCTCTTACTGATGAAGGTTGACTAACCATCACCAACCTCATCTTCTGACTCAGATGATGATTCCTAATCTTCAAGATTCACCATCATGAGGTCATATAAGGAAAGAGAGCCTAGACCTCTCGAAGTAGGCATGCCAAGATAAGCATAGACTATCTTCTTTTCATCATCTATTTGAAATTTGACTTGAATTGCCCCCTTAGGCAAGTGGGGAGACCATGGCAACATTAGTGACAGTGGTACCTTCTTTACTTTCTAGTTGTATTTTGCCTTCTTTCTCATGACAAACTGTCAAATCTGTCAACACAAAACATTTACCAATTGGATGACTCACAATTCAGTGATACTTACAGTATTTTGGATCATTCACTCACAGAACTTCCTTTAGGTGCTTAGGAGCTGGAAATTCAATTAGGTTAAGTGCCAACAATTGCTTAAAGATAGCTGGCACTTCAGAGTTTGTAAATGGATACTTCTTTTGTTGCAACTCCTTCAATGTAGACTTCTTCTTTTAGCCTTGATCCTCAACAATCTTGACACTTTGTTTGGGATTTGGCTTTGGCTTTGGCTTTTGTTGTGAGATCTTTATAGGCGTTGTTGTGATTGCCATAGTTTCTTTTGCTTTTGAGGCTTCACCTCCTTTTTGACATCCTTTCGAGACTCCTTTTTATCATGCGCATCTGTTGGAAGAAAGTTACCATGCTTAACAATTTGAATTTCCAAGTCATGGGCATGAGTGGCCAACTCTTCAAAGGTATGTGGCATGTTAACTTGAATGTTATATAGCAGTCCTCAATGCATACCTTGCACACACATATCAATAGAAGAGGTCTCACTAATCTTTCCTCGACAATTTAGGATGAGACTCCTCTATCTTTCAATGAAGTCTGTCACAGACTCATCTTTCTTTGGCTTGGTGTTAGCAAGCTCGGCAGGCTAATAGTACGCTTGGTATTGTAAAAACATGTCAAGAATTCCCACTCTAGTTGGTCCCAACTATCTACTAACCCAGCAAGAAGGTCAGTGTACCATTCGAAGATTGCATCCTCCAAGGACTGGACAAACTGTTTCACCATGAGGCCCTTGTAGGTGCCAACATTGTTGCATGTTTCAACAAAATGGGCAATGTGTTGTTTTGGGTTGCTTTTCCCATTGAACTTTTGGAATTTTGGTGGTTGATAGTTGTTTGTTAGGCTTAGCTTATCAATCCCACGAGTATAAGGCTTGGCACACACAAGTGAGGATTGTGAAGTCCCACCTTGTCGAGCTTGAATGACATCATCAACCAAAAGTTTAAGTTGTGGAAATGTAAGAAATGCCACAGTAGCATGAGTAGTGTCATGAAATGCATTTTGGAGAACTGTTCGATCTAGTTGCTTTTGCTTTTGTTGTTCCAAGCTTTCCTCCATGGCAACTTGTTTACCTTGATATGAAGTCCTCAACGAGTCTTCTTTGTTTTCGAGGGTTTTTTCAGTGGCTCAACTTGATGCGGCTTGGTTATTTTGGTTTGACAAGTGTTAAGTCGCTAGGAGTTCTTGGAGTTCCTTGATTTAGGCATCCTATTCAACCATAGCTTTCCTTAAGCCTTCCATAGCCTTGAGGAAAGCATTCAGGTCACTAGGTATCGCTTCAATAACCAAGGCAAGTAGGAGGGACTCAAATGATGATAAAGGATAGTCAGCCCATCTTAACTTTGAAGCAAGCACATGATTAGGCTTGAGACTTATTTCTTCACCTTCATTGGATTCTAAGTAAAAGTACTCCACATCCTTCACTGGTTGGAAAGGTGACTGGATGGCTAATGACCATTTTTCATTGCAACCTCCTATGGCATCTTCTAGTGAATTGCCTCAAGGGGGACACCAACTTGGATCTTGTCATGCGCACTTTGGCACGAGTTAGCAAGGAGGATTGATTGGAAAAGATTTGAGTTTTTTGAGTTGCAAGAGGAGTTACAGCTTGCTTTGAGTTTGCCATGCTTAGAAGGATATGGTGGAATTTTTTTCTTCAACCAAAAGATGAGAGGCAAAGATGTCCCCAATGGAGTCGCCAAAAGATGTGTAGTCACAAAATCTGAAAAATCAAATAATATGTATTGATTTGCAAAATAAATACAAATTACAAAGAATTTGAAGGAAAATGGGAAACAATCTCTAATTTGGAGTGCTGCAATACATGTGCTCGAGTTTTGAAGAGTGACATGTCCTAGAACAACACGATCCTCTGATTAATAGCTGAATTTAGAAGGGCAAGGACCAAAGCTTGTTCTTGTCCTCCAAGGGATTTAAGAATTGCACTTGAAACTTTTCCTCCTTGACATGGATTTGAAGCTTACCCTTGGCAGGAGGTTGAAACCTCCCCAAGTTGGGGCTCGGAACTTCGAGGATTGTTGAAGGGGCTTGAGGCTTGTCATTCCTCTCCTTTTCTCCTTCTTCCTTCCTTTTTCTCTTTTTCTCCTTCCCTTTCTTCTTTTCATCAAATGATGGCCTATTTATAGCCAAAGGAGCCTTGCCAAATGACCTCAAATACCTTCATTTTAAGGATAATTTGGTCATTTTAATATTATTATATATTATTATTTTAAATTAAAGAGAAAATATCTCTTTAAAGATTTATTACCCCAACTTTCAAGATTTTTACTATGATAAATATACTTTAACCTTAACAAATTTTTTAATGTCTACAGTGAGTTTGGTGAATTAAGGGTTGAGAGAGTTGCCTCCCATTATGTAACTCAAAATAAAAAATAAAAAAAGATAGAAATGTTCTTCCATCCCTAGAAAAGAGGAAACAAAATGTTGGGTAACATTATACCCTTTCTATATACATACATTTAATTATTATTATAGATTATAGATAAAGTACAAGTAATTCAGTGGCAACAACAAAATACAAAACAATTCAAACACCATATAATTTGATATATAAGTCAACATCCAACTAGATTAGTTAATAAAATATAATATAAATATAATTAGTTTAACTCACTACTAGAAAATTAGATTATTCAGACCGAAATATTTTAGACTATCAATGAACAGTCTAAACAAAAAATA